TCACGGTTCTCCATACACAAGAGATATCAACACTCAGTTCGATGAAAAAAAGCACTTGGCATATTCAAATTCACACTGGATGGTCACGAAATTGCAGTGGCTCTGGTTTTTGCGTACTGTAATGCACCTTAAAGTCTTTTTTCCTCCATAAATTATCAAAAAAGCCGAGAATGGAGTTCACACTTTTTTGTACAGTTTTCTGTTGCCCACTGCAAAAGTGGCTTCTTTTCAGAAATTTCTGCTTCAAAGAGATAATCCAAGGACAGAGATGATGCAAGCAAGCACTAATATACGTGAGTTGAATAAAGAGGTTCTTTCGGCTGATTTACTGACATTGGAACCGTAGGACTCATTTATTTTCCGAAGCAGGACAACAGAAAGGACTTCTGAAATTTGCTCTTTTCAATGCACTTCACGATCACAAGAGCCGCTTCGATATTCATGGCATAGAGGTCAGTTTCATTAGAGAGCATTCGTTCTTGCTCTTCGGATATGAATCAACTATACTGTACTGGAGTTTCCATAAAGGTGAATTAACATCACAGTAGGGCGAAAAAAACTTCCAAGAGCTGCAGATTTAGACCATATAGAAATTTTACAATTCATGCCCGGATTCTCTTCCGGTTTGATGAAATGCAACTTTCAGGGTCACACAAAGGGACTTTATGCTTCCACTACAAAAGATGAGCCACAGACATCGTACATACACCCTTCAGAACGCTCCGATATTTACATGTGACTCACTCAGTTCCATCATAAAACGATGAAGAGACATTAGAAAGCGTCTGCAGAAGTAGCGTCCAGAACAGCAAATTTTCAAAACAAAAAGTGTACAATACTGAAAGAACGTGAGTACACAAAGCGTCATATACTGAGCAACTATAAATATTTCATACACTTCGCAAATTATAATCGTTTCGCTCATTTCATACATACGGACCGGGTTAGAAATGAGTTCGCAGTCGCGCCCTTCCTGCAACCATGGTTTATGGTTACGTATAATCAATGCCACATTTATTCCGCAGTTGATTCAGGAAAGCAAGAACATTTTTCCTCCATAGCTCTCAAAGCTTATAAAATAAAATAACGCGTTTATTGAACACGACCTTTTTTAACCCCAACAAAAGGAAGGTTTTCAGTACTTGCATCTCGAAATTAATTTCCTAAATCAGGTTCTTGCAAACCGCCTGTGGGATAAATAACGATCCATAGAAAAGCATTTGTTCAGTTAATATGGGGCTTCTTTCACTGCAGTGAGGATTTGTGCAGCTTCTTGTTCACCAAATGACATTCCAGAAAATCCCGACAACCTTCGCATGCAGCTGCACTGCATCTAAAACAGCTTTGATCGGAGTACAATGGGTATACAGAAATGCTTTTGTGAAGTCTGGAAAATGTTCTCATATGTTCGTCGTTTTAAATGGTTGGCAGCCATGCGCCTGTCTGGAAATCTATAGAACAGGCCAGCAAGACCGAGTATGCGATCAACCATATTTCCTTACACAGGTTGGATGAACTTTTAATTTTTTTTCCTTTTTAGACTTGGATGAACACAAATTGGAACAGGGGCCAGGAATCACGAAACGATGAAATATTGCTCCGTGAAAATTACGAACATAACCGTTCATCCAACGAGGTAAGCGCAGGACCTTAATGAAACAACACTCGCCCGATTGATTACTTTTGTCCCACCATACGTATATACGTGTTCAGAAATGAGTTCAAAAGTGACTATACCGGTAAGTCAATCATACCACACTGCATCGTTACTCGAAGCTGGGAAACTCCCTTGCATAGAGCCTATTGCGAACCGTACTTGTGCCATTTTCTGACACAGAAATGCTCCGGGACAGACTCGACTGTCCAGTCACGCATTGCAGCAGTATACAGTAGTCAATCAGTTCGGCGAACGTTGGAGGAATTTCCAGCCTTTGGGAGCCGACGGCACCAAAACGTCGCGGCGGTCGAAACGGCGCGCACGAAGAAGGCTCTGCCTGGCACAAGCGTTGCGTGAAACCAGGCGGCGGTCATATTACTGCGGCTAGCGTTTCCCGCCTTCACACGGACGCATAATACACCGCGACTCCAACCACGGGATTTCACTCGCAGACTCATCCATCCGATTCCGTTCGCAAACACCTCATAGCAGACTCACTTACCAGATGCCGGAACTCGCCGAGACTCGCAGCACTCGCCCAACAACATTCCTACGAATGCCCGACCGCGAGCTGCAGTACAGTACTGTACAGTACTGATATTCTTCTGCGGTCAGAAGAGTCCGGAGGAGCAACCCGTACAACTTTTCGATCGGACGGCATTCAAAAGATGCCCCGCACTTTCGCCGCAATCGGAGCAGAGCTTCTCATCCATTAGGGATGATACAATACAGGTTGGAATTTTCTTTGCCGAACGAAGCAACACGGGGCCGATGCTATGCCCGAGGAATGGACCCAGTATGCCGCTCCTTTCCAGCACGTCGATCGCATTTTTTAACCCTCTCGACCGATCCGAACAAGTTACCCAAGGGGAAAATTTGCCTCGTAAAAGTTCCCGAGTTCGCCCAGGAATGTTTTTACCTGGGGAACTTTTCGACGACTCGCTCAACTCTCTGAGTCAGTCGGAACAAAGTCACTCATTTCATTTCTTCGCATCGAATGCGCTAGAAAAATGCAGGCGTCACTAACAGACGAAGCCAGAAGTATTCCGTTTGTTCGACAGCAACATTCGCGGAATGCAAATCAACGTAGTAAGAACCCAAACGACTAGCATTTAACATAGTTCACAGTCGATGGTAAGCGAGGAATCGCGAAATTCCACATTAGTCATTTGACGAACCCGAAGTTCCTTTCGAAGCGGAGAATTGTAATACGATAAAAGCGCCACAACAACAATCACACGAGGGGAAAAGTGACCAGCGAAAAGCTATCAGGAAACATCATTCCATAACCGATTGTTTCTCGTGACGTAATCAAACTTATGTCTCTTCAAAACATATTTTATACTACAATAGTGTATTTTCTTAGGCATAGCATTCAAGTTGATTAAAAAATACTGTACATTCAACATTCAGTGTCAGATTTCTCTGAACCTAGTAAATAATAGAAATTTCTGCTGAGCATATCCGAGATTACTCTTGTACTATCCGCGTGTTATGCAAATACATCCTGTGCGTTTTTTCTTTTACTTCAGCAGCTTTTGACTTCGTTCTTCTTGTAACTAGTGATCGATTTTTTTTATCATATGCAGAACAATCCCCTTTCCAAATGCGTACCCTAAAAGTTAAGGATAAGTTTCAAAAGGGACAGAAATTTTATCCAACTAAAACAATCAGTTACTGGGAGATCTTTTTGGTGTACCTTTTTTGAAAGTTACCTTTTGCTGAGTCTTCTCCTCCTGACAGTAAAAGAAAGAGAAAATAATCATCGGACGATGCGGACACGTTCATTTTATTGATTAACGGCTCAACTCACAGTCTGATCTCTCCGTTCGGAGAATACATATCGACCTTTTAAATGAACGGACGAGTTTATAGAACGAACTTCATGTTGAGTCTACGATGAAACACTTTACGACCATAATTCATCACTTGGAGCTCGTCCATCACTTAGAGCCGAGGTGAGGGATCACCGAAGGTAACTGGTAAGGCTTTCTTTTTAACAGTTCCTTCCCAGTGTTTTTCTTTTCTCATCAATTTAGACGCGCTCACTACCCACAGATTTTTTTTCCTTTTGCGAAAAGCAGAAACCATTAATAAAATAAACATAGGAAGACCAGCGCTTTTGTGGGTCTCATGCACCCTGAATGCTACGAAAGTTCTTCAGCATTTGCGATAGTCACGAAACTGATGACCCCCTAAGTCGCGGAAAAAGTAGAAATAAATCGTAGCCCCGAGAATTTCAGCTGACGCCCAGAGCGTGGAAAGTGGGTACAATGCGGGGCAACATTCTGTTCGATTAGGTTACCTTAGTTCAAGTTGAGCGGAGTTCTTGTTCGAGAAATGGAATGGAGAGATACCTCGCGGTAATTCTCGGCTTTTCTGATTCCAGAACAGAGCATTTAAAAGAAAAGGACGATTATTCTTTTCCCAACGCAGCTGACCCGAGAACGTTACGCGAGGAAATCGAAAACCTGGCGATGAAAGTAATGAAGCCACCCGCTCCGGCCGCAATCATCCACACCTACACTTAGTGTAGGACCAACGTATTGTCGGGATTCTTCAAACGTTAACAAGGGCTTATTAACTCCTCGCAATCGAGGGATGATGGGGCAATTCCAGAATATTATTCTTCCAGCACTGTACAACTTCGCGGGTAGAACGGAATTCGAGAAATACGTTCAGGTGCTGCAACAGCCACCTCACAAAAGCGAATACTGTAACGTATTTACACCAATACACATTATAATACATGCAGCTTTCTGATTCTTGGCTGCAAGTGCACGGTAAAAATCTGAAAAAGCCATAAAACATTTTGAAGAGAAAGATGCGGTCTTTACAGTACGGATAAGAAAATGAATTACACAGCAATAAAGCCATTGAGACTTTAAAAAAAAGAATCATTCGTTAAAACGACAAATTTTTCATATAGAGACTCAAACAATGTTGTGGCTCTACTGCAGGGACCTTAAAAAATACGGTAATAATTTATACGCTGCAATTTGTTGTGAAGAGATCCTACAGCACAAAGAACAGAAAATTTTGTCCCAATCTTTTTTTGTCAGAAGAATGCCAACTGAAGAATATTTCATTTCTTATCATTTAAACTTCCAAGTACTGTACAGTAATAGCTTGTTCCATTCTAAAAATCCTACTTGGCACTGATAATGACACACAGCTGACACATAATCCGAATATAGGCCGAATCACTCAATTCCGTGGGACCAATACGTCGAATACGGGCCGAATAAGTGGAGTAAAGGTCGCATCAGCGTTTTTGATCTATTGAATACAGTTTTTGCCAGAAAAGTGCGACATAATCAAACAAATACGGATTTTCACTTACCCGTGGATACGAAGAACTGCATAGCCGCGAATCGATTTGTCGAGGCCTTGAACCATCAGCTTTGAAATTATTCCTGCAGGATTTATTCGAAGGTAGAATTTATTCTCCTTCGACCTCCATCACTTCACCCGAACACTGCACAGAAGAAAAAAAAACCTCCCGCACAACCTGACGAATCAAACCGAGCAAACTCTCCATGAATCAAACAATAATCACAAAAGCGAAATGAAAGAAATCCAGCAGACATGACAACCCACTGAGAATTTCGAACCGACTTGAATAATTGATTATCCACCCAGTGAGATGAGAAAAATAATTGCGTGATACGCGATAAGTTCTATCGTGTGACGCACGTATACGTGAGCTTAAACAATTCAAGGTACAAACATTTAAATCTTGTTTAAAAAAAATTATGGAATTAAACAGGAGAGATTCTCTGGATCTTCAACGGGTGAGAAGATTATGGTGAAGAACGAATTATGCTTACAGTATAACCAAACCATGTTTTGTTCGACGTATTCTGAACTGCGATTTTCACACACACGAATCTTACGAACACAGTCCCAAGAACAATTTAAAACGTAGGCCTGTCATCTCGAACATTATTCAGCCGAAAAATGTAATTGTTCACCAACGCAAAAAAAGGCAAAACGAAAAATGAAAGATATGCATATAGTAAGCATTAAAAAATAAACTTCAACAAAATTAGCGCTATATCTTAATTAGATCAAACGGGGTTCTCAACGGGTGCTTCGCGGAGCCCTAAAGAATAGCTCCGTCTGGAATTCCCAGGGGCTCCGCGACTGAACCATGAAAATTAGACAAAATTAAGACAAAAATTAATGAATGAGAAATGGATGCGCTATCCATTCACTTTCGGATACAAAGGAGACGCCAGAATTCGACGATTAGATTTTGAGGAACCCACCACCATTGGTTGAAACTGATGTCCGCGACTAAATCTGAAGAACCCATCAACAGATCATTCTCTGTTTACCTAACCGTGGAAATTGATTTTGAAAAGAGGTCCACGAGTGAAAACGATTGGAAGCTGAGATAATAACCGCAAGTTACGCAGCCTAGGACCAAAGGGCGAGAAAATATTCTTCACGGATTGAACGTGAAGAGGAGAAATGCATTGTGACCTTTGGACAAGCTTATTCACTGTTCGCGACAGTTCGAAATTTTCGCACCAGCTCCTCAAATCCGGAAAATGTTTCACTTTTGGTTCATGGGAAGGCGATGGATCTCACCTTCAGCACACGAGCGCCCACGAGGGGCCTTCGCACCATTTCAGCCCGCGTCCACTTTCCATTTCAACAGAACAGGACAACAAATCCGAGACCAACCATGGCACCGAATTTAGGGGCAGCTCAAAGAAGGCATAGTAGCTCACAAGAACATCAATATCACGGGCTCACATTGAATTTGGTTCAGGCTGGGATGAGATAGAAAAAATCCACTTAAATTCATCCACACGCACTACCAATATCGGCGCAAGCGCATCGAACTAAACCCCGCGCGCCCGAAAACAGAACTCCCGAGCTCGCGTTCGCCGGACGATAGCTCCGCCGCGGTGGCTGAAGTGGCGGAAATCGAGGCGCCGTGGATGTGGGTGTGCATCCATGCCGCTCTAGGCTCCGCTTCATTCCCTCCCGTTCCTGCGTGGCAACTGTTCAATCCATGGCACGCTACACCGCCGGCACCGGATATGCATTAAAACGAAACAAGAGAAGTGCTTCCACCCCATTCCAATTCGGATTCCTCAGTGCTTCATTCGCATCGCGGAAATCCCTTGATGCCCTTCCTGGTCGTTGAATTGCAAAACATCGCCCTCCTATTTCATAGATGCGGAATGGCGTTGTCGAAGCCAACCGTTTTTTTGTTCCTGCGTCTATTTTTCAAGACGCGGGCACAAGTACAGTAAGAACCACCTCCATCGTAATTAAAATATAAAAGGTATCTGAAATATTTTTCTTGCATATATTTTCATCATGGAAATACTGCATTTGCAAACCAATACTTGCTCATTTCTTGCATCCGGAACCAAGCGCAGATTCTGCGTTGGAATTTTTGCGGCTTCTGTTTCCAGCTCTGCAAGAGCACAAGTACGATATAAAAATGATATATGGGGGGGGGGGCAGATATTAAAGTACGAGAACGCTTATTTCAGAAAGACACCGTGTCGAGTGCAGTTTTAAAAATCAGACAAAGATCTTGACTACCACTTGAATTTCAAGGCAATTCATTTAGATTTAGAATATCTTCGGTACCATTTGATACAAGAATTGTACTCGAAACTATACCCTACAGAAGACGTAAATAAAGTACAGTACATTATTTACATTTGATATACCTTGACAAGGCAGCCAACTATCAGAAAAAAATTAAAATGAAAAATTTAGGGGCTGAACTAATTTTAAAACATGAGCTTCGAGCGCGCTTACAACCAACAGCAACGACAGAAAAATGGATGAAGCTGTGATGGTTGATATTTCAATCTCGCTTATGAAATGCGGCACTATTGAACCCAATAAAAATCTGACCTCGTTCAACTAATTTTTCTAATACTATTTAAATTTACCCATCATCCAATCAGTGAGTTTGAACGACCACTCTACGGTGAAGTTCTAAAAGTTCGAGTTTTTCTCTTGGGGTTTCGAGACTGCGCGGTGTTGCGTTCTTTTTTTTTCTCGGGAAACCCAATTGCAACTTTGAACAATTAAAATAAGCAATCTCATCCGCGTGTTTTCAGTATTTTATTTTTATTTTTTGCCACATCAAGATGTGACAATGTTTGAGAAACGCTCGGCGAAGCTGCGCTTGTGCAACGCCTTTCTGGCTTCGAGGTTTGAATACCTACGGTATTCTCATTAATACACCATAAATTCAGATTGAAAAAATTGCGATGTTCTCACCAAATTATCTTAAATTCTATTTAAAATATGTTTAATGGCAAATGCATGTTTTTCAAAAATCTATTAATTTCCCGCCTCCCTCTTCTGCTGGTTTCAACGCATCGAATGTCCACAAAGTCACACTCAAGGCTTCAAAAACTGAATTTACTAATGGAAAATGTCTTGTACCGTCTGGCAATTGCCTGGCATACCACAATTCTAAAATCCTTCTAATAGAAAGGGTCTCTGCTTGACAAAAGGCCCATACAGCAAACATTTGCTCAACAAAATATAAACAAGAAACTGGCAGAACCTCAAGCCCTCAACATCTTTTGGGAAATTTCATGTGTGGGATTCTCCCATCTCTTGCAGACCTTTTTTCTGTGAGCTCTGGGGAAGTTTTTGCTTTAATAAGGAACAAATTGCTGCATTGTACTAACCTTTGATGGATATTGTGTTTGGTAATACAGTATAAAACTCATCCAGGAACAGTTGAGTAATGCCATGCATGCAAGGACACAATCTACAGGTGGTACCTCGCAATTTGACATTCAGCAATCCAATGGTGAAATTTGCTGGGACATCAACTAAAAATTAAAACTCTGTCCCACAATTTAACCTGACGTCAAATTCAAAACATTGAATTTGGCATTTTCTCGCAATTTGACTGCTTCACCATTTGACCCTAGCCTGGCAACAGATTAGGGTCAAATTTTGGGGCACCACCTGTACTGTAAATGGCTTTGGGTTTATCAGAAGTACCGAACCGGTTCCTTGCACACTGGATGGGACACCACATGGGAACGGGTCCCACGGCCCGGGTTCGAGCGAATGACGCGCCGAGATTGACCGTCCGCCCCCCTCGTTGATCTCCGTCCGGACAGCACGCGTTGTTTCTCCCCTCGGCGCGCTTCCCTCTGCTGGCTTCGTCCATGCCTCGTACACCCTTCATCCCGTGCGCGAACTTCATCTATCCCGCGCTTCGTTCCCCGACGTGTTCCGTGCACATACACGTCCCCCCCCCCCCTCGGTTCTGCGTCCCCATTCATCATGCGGGATTGCAGAAAACAATGCGAATGAGCAACAACAACAAAGACTGCTGAGGGAGGGGTAATGTTCTGGCGAATATTGGAGCCACACCGCCTGACCGTGAATCGGTGCTTCGGCCCACGTCCTGGCTGCTGTGCATTTGATGAATCTGGCTCAGGTGGACTCTCTGTATATACCGTAAGTCTGTTCAGGGAAATGATCAGCTCCACGTGAGAGGGATCATCTACAAATTACGTGATTCTATCACTTGCAGCCACAGATGATGGTAGCTTTTCTTTTCACTGTTGAGCTTTCATTGAATTTTCAAAATATTCGCCCAGCAAGCTCGAAAAAATATATGAGAAATGGAGCTGGCTCCGAGTGTCGCCCCATGTCAAATAATCAAGGTCAAATGAGAGCCGCTGTGCGAGGATATTCATTGGATTCTTCCCATGAGAAAAATCATAGATTTGGCAGATTTATAGTGAACCGCACTGACGTGTCCTTGAATGTACAGGAATGTGAATGAAAGAATTTTTATACAACAAAAAACCCTATTACTGTAATTCATTTTGGTCGGGTTCGAAATTCATGGACAATCTCTCGCATTCTTGACTAGTCGATGCAACGAATTCGCGCTCGACGGAACAGTTATGATACAGTACTACTGTTCATTACAATAGAACTCCTGTGCAGTGATAATTCCCGTTCAAGAGTGTGATCTATAGATTTTATTGATTGCTACTTCAGATCGGATCCGCAGAAATAGTCCACCTTTTGATGCCCGGTCAACTGGCTAATTGTTACCGGAAGCTGTTTTGCTTGTGTTCCCGTTATTTCCCTCAATTTTGATAAATTCCCAAATTAAAATTCAGAAGAACATTCCCTGCATATAGTGAACTCGTAAGATTACTGTAGTTGAATAATTTTCTGCTTCGAATCGATTCACATCTCAACCCTTTCTCGTTTCTCCTCATTGGGTCATTAATCTTGTGCAAAAATGAGAAACAAAACCAAAATCGATTCCCTCATTTCCAAGGATACCTTTTATGGAAGGACGGCTGCTTCCTGTGATGCATTTTATGTTGGCTGCGGCTTGATGCGTTCTGGTACCCGCGGGAATGCAATCAGCTGCACTGATGTCCGCTTTTTGTTTGTTTGATGGATTTAAAATTTTTAAAATTCTGCTCCGGGATTTAAAATATGGTTGAAATTTGGATCAGCGTAATTTCAGTTTCTGGATT